TCCCTTTGTTAGTACTGAATGCAACTATTACAAGGAGAGGTGGTATTATCATTGTCACAGGGGTTATCCTCCAAGTGGGTTGTGTCCAGAGTGTAAACACACCAAACAGATTTTAACCAAATATATTTTAAAAAAGAGAATAGAGGAAGGAACATTAGAACTAGATTCTTGTGAGTGGTGGATGTTGTGGAAATACAGATTAAGAGGGGGACTATCAAGCAAGGCAAATATTAAAAAGATTGAGTGTCGCAAACAATTGAGTCCCTTGCGGATCCGAGCCAGTCAAAGCAAAGAATTGGGAAGTATTTAAGAAAAAGCACAAAATCCGGGAAAGCTCATGTGGAACCCCTGAAGACTATCCTTGGTGCTGAGAAGATGGCACCCCTCGCTGCCGGAAGCACCCTGTTAGGCGAAGGAGGCAGAGGGATAATAAAACTGTGGGTCCTTATGGTACTGTTGAGTCTTCCATGGAATGGGATAACCGATGCCTGCTTAAAGTGCTACCAAAATGTGAAGTATGGCTGGACCATGACCCGAGCATTTGCAGCACACACTCATATTAATGCAGGATGTTATGACCCAGGAAAACTTGAAACCTGTACAATAGGAGAGAAGAGTTACTGGGTGGAAACAAATTTAGAAATCGAAGGATGGGCCCCTTGAAACTATCAATTTTGTCCCCAGGGAGAACCATTCCTCTGTTTTGCCAAAGGCGGAATGTGGAGATACTCAGATAAAGGGGGAGTACACGATAAATTCAAGGAAGAATTAGTGAAAAACATCACAAAGAATTTAGGGGAAATTCAAACCAAAAAAAGAGTAAGAGCAGGAAGTGACCTATATGAAAGAATTAAGAAAAAAACTCAGTGATTGGGACCTCCCCACATTAGGGGGAAAAAAATTGTTTATTGATTTGATGCAAAAAGTAGTTAAGGAATTGAATGTGACTAACTGTTGGATTTGTGGGGGATCCCAAATGGCCGAGCAATGGCCATGCAGAGGAGAAGGGGTAGGACCTGATCAGTTGATATTATGTAACAGGACACATAAATCTAATGAAATTCAACCTGAGGGGTGGATATTGAGTCATGAAGTAGTAGGCCAACTTTGTATTTCTAGGGAAGGAAACAATTTTACTACATATGTAGGACATACCCCCTGCAAGATGATATATACCACCAACTCCACTTTTATGACCTGGTGGCTGAAACCACCAACAGGTTATTGGTCTATCAATTGTACCAACAGAACTATTTGCTGGAAAAGTGTAACACATGCTAATACTTTTAAGGAGGTAAAAGATCTTAAGGGATATTGGGAAAATCCAGGGCAGACGGATGAAAATTAGAAAGCTCCAGATGGATTATTTTGGATATGTGGTAAAAGGGCATATAATGAACTATCAAAGAGATGGAGAGGTACCTGTACAATTGGAATTATACAACCTGCATTCTTTTTGCTACTGAAGAGCAAAGGTGAATATTTAGGACGACCTCTTTATGAAACTTTATGTAGTAGAAAACGAACTGAAATAGGAGGAAAACAGACCTGGAATAATGAAGAATGGACTCCCCAACAGATCATAGATTACTATGATCCTGCCTCCTGGGCTCGAGACAGCAACTGGGGTTATAGAACCCCTATTTATATGCTTAACCGAATTATTAGGTTACAAGCCGTTGTAGAAATTACTTCTAACCAAACAGCAGAGGCATTAAAGCTTGTAGCTAGACAACTAACCCAGACCACAGCAGCAGTATATCAGAATAGGCTAGCCCTAGATTATTTATTAGCTGAAGAAGGGGGGTTTTGTGGAAAATTTAATACATCTGAATGTTGTTTAGAGATTGATGATAATGGAGAGGCTATTACAAATTTGGCAGACGAAATTAAATGAGTTGCACATGTTCCAGTGCAGAAATGGAATTCCATATTAACGGACAATTGGTGGAATAATTCGTTTAAAGAAGCCTGGTAGAAGAAGTTGGGGTTCATGTTGCTTTGTTCTGCATTAGGCCTATTGTTTATACCACGTATGATTCTATGCTTTATTAAGCTAATACATTCAGTAATCCAAGGAATGCAGATTTCAGCAACACCCATCAACCCTAAAATAACAACCACGGGAGAAAAAACTCACTCCCTTATGATAGTCAAGGCCAAAGCAGAACCAAATATAACTGCGACCCGAAAAGTATTAGCTCGATTTGAAGCAGACATGAATCAATAACGTAAAGAAAAAGGGGAGGGATTGTTAAAAATGTTTTTGTGATTCGTGTCAATTGGCAATGGAATCAGTAAATGCTTGTATCTGCTGTGTTGAAAGTGGACACGTTCCCTGGGATAACTACTAAGAACGGTTTTGAAACTTTCTGACCAAATAGCCAAATAAATCATCGAAAAAGAAAATAGAAGAAGCATAGTAGAGTCAAGAGATGAAGTGGCAAAAATGACTGATGCTTAGAATAGAATAGAGGAAGCTGTGGTAAAGCTAAGGGATATTTCAACAAAGCGACTAAATGCTTATATATAATTAAAAGCTTGATGCACTTGTACGAGACTAAAATTATTTAGCAGACACTGGTGAAGGGCTTCCCTCCATATAACCATGAACAGGACAGGAAGCCAACGACCACCTGGAAAGATTATGAAATTGCTGATCCCAGCTTAATGATGTCTGCTGATTCGGACTAACACAAGCACATTGGAAAATGCTTTGTAGGCTTAAAAACAGCATATATACTTTGCCAAACTTGTAAGTGGTGTGCGCCATTAGTGGAATGGTGACTCCCTGGCCACCCAGCGCTGCTTGCTTGCTTTCTTTAAAATAAAAGATATAAAGATAAAATTTGGTTTGGCTATCGAAATTTTATATCAGAAAACAAAAAACCCACCAAGCAATACAGTAGATAGAATTAAAAAACCTTTGAGGTACACATTCAGAGGGAATTATCATAATAGGCTAGACACAAAGTTACATAGGGAACTTGGTATTCAGGACTACCTCTGAATCACTAGGAAGACTCTGAAAACAGAAGGATGAGAGATGAACCAGTGACCTTAAACATCAACAATATATTTTATTAGAGCACTTTTATCCTAAAGCATTTCCAAACTTGCAGATACAAGCAGTCTTAAACTTAAGCAAACAGATAGGCTCCCCAGAACTCTGACACAGAATCAAACAAACCAAAACCTCCAGAAAGGAACATTAAGACTAACGAGGTTACCACACCACTGATCACTCCCAGAAATTGGAACTGCAGGGACTGAATCCAAAGCACTTCAATTAAAGTAGCTGGCACTGTTAATACAAGGGGACTATCAGCTACAACATGGTCAAAGAATAGGAAAACATTCTCCTCAACCTGTCAAGTAGTCAAATAAATTCACCTCCTACATTTGTGCATGTCATCACCAAATTCACATTTTAGAATAAAAGAGAAAGTTAAATCCAACCACTGTCACGTAAAAAAAAGTAATAAGTACTGTATATTATTCAGTTAAATAATTTCACCATTACTTGAAAATTACTTTAGCATTACCAGGCCCATTTTACACTGTTCATAGATAAAATACAAATTAGTTAACTAATATTTTGATTAGTTAATGATAGTTAGAGTAACTGAGTGCTGCACAAATTCACCGACATATCAAGTTACAGACTTTTGCTCAGACTTTTTCATCTAGAAATATTACAATTGGCTTGGGAGCCATGACATGAATACATATTTCAGAATGCAATTTGGATTACTCCACTCAAGTTTTACATTGTGGTAAAGTTGATCCTATAATTTATAGTCTTTTCCAGTTAATCAACACTTGTTAATGGGGAGAGAAAAAGCAGGAGGGAAAAAATTAAAGAATGTATTAATATATGATACTTAATTCTAGCATTAAAATGCAGTAACTACTTCTAACTCAAGAACTATGATTAAGCTATGCCAGTGCTCCTCCACTAGAAGCTTCTAAAGCAAAATAGCAAAAACAAAAAAAAAAGTTAGGACATTACTTTAGGGCACTGCTCTGATAGACGCCATGGCTATCAATGTGTTCATACTTTAAATAAAGACTGTGTTTTTAAATATAATCTTTGAAAATGAAACATTGACTATGAGTTACAGTAACACATATTTAGAAAGTAATAGAAAGCATCACATCCTTTGCACCTTGGGTACTCATCCTTACAACCTAGATACGCTGTTCCCCAGAAGATCATTTTAGGTACGCCCAAGAAATTAAAATGTTATTTTGGCTTTATGTCATTAAAAAACCCCAACCACCCAATAAAATATATGTTATTTTCTTTGAAGTCAGAAGAGGGTATGCTAAATAAATAAGGTTGGTAGGTGCTGAACTGAACATCTGTCTTGTGTTAAAAGTCAGAAATATGCTGTTGTGTAGTTCAGTATCGTACTTCAGTTCACAATGCCATGCCTTTTACTTTTTTAAGAAAAAATGCTCTTATTAACAACAAAAACAACACACTTCTGTTTATACTATTGTCATCACAAGGGCAAATAATTCTGTGACAGAAAACCAGCAACACAAAGAGACCTGGCAAGTGTTAATTTCAGTTTTATATCCTGTGATCTGTGAGCTATTTAAGATACTGACAAGGAGATACAGAGAAAGCCAAGAAAACCTATGCTATGTTTTTTCACTACACAATGCCTAACATAAGTAGCTCAGGTTTTTTTAATAAGACTGCACCAAGTTAATACCTTATACTGATCTACATCCCAAAATGAAAGAAAGTACTAGATCATTTTTGCAAGCATAATACAGTATTTCATCTCTGCCAGCACTTCAGTGCACCAGCCCCCTCCCCCCAAAGATATACGCGCATTCCAACCGAGCCTCTCTCAGCAGGGGCTCAGCCAATTCTCGCCCTCCCTCCAGGCCTTGCTAGGTTCCCAAACCCCCTCTAATTTTAGGTTTGGATTTTGTTGCAAAACGTCAAAACGAAAGGAGAAAGCCTCCAAAGTGACGATCCTTACCCTTGAAATCCCGCCATGGGCGCAATAAGGAGAGTGAATTCTTTTTTTTTATGGGAGATGAATGAGAAGAAACAAAAGACTAAATGGAGAAGAGGCTAAGCAGTGCAGACAGAGGGAGAAAGAGGAGAGCCCGTTGAAGGAGCAGGGCGAACGTCAGCCATATTGTGTGTGTTATTCCAGTATTTACAATCCTGCAGCTGCAGCAGCGTTTTGAGTCTGGAAGAGAGGGGAAAGAAGGGAGGGGGAAAGAAAGGAGAGGAGGGAGGAGAAAGAGGTAATCGAGGGAGGAGGGGAAAGCGGCGACAGCAGCAGACAAAGGAACCCAGAAAAGCGCGAGCAAAGCACGAGCATACGTCCACACACTCTGGGTGTCCCGGACAGCAGCGGTGGCGTGTGCAACTCCAGTGCTGCCAGCCCGACGCGTTAGCAACTTTCACAGCTCCAGCCTTTGGCTACTGAGGCTCGGCCGAGCCCGGCCACCACCCTCACGTCCCCTGCACCACATTTTCTCATGAGGGGAGCCAATAGATGACAGGTCAGACATACCTGTCTCCCTCAACGTGCACTATCGACAGAGAGGCTTATCTGCTGGGAGCCCCTTAGCGGGCCCCAGCCCACAATACAATGGATCCACAGAGAGGAAGGGGGAATGTGCAGCTGCGACCCCTTCTCTCCAGCAACGGACGCGATGTGGGCGGGGTAGATATTGGGAGGGGCCATGCCAAACGAGAGCAGCAGTCCCCCAGAGCCCAAAAGAGTGGTGGTTGCCAAGGAGTCGAGGTACTACATGGGAAGAGAATCTGAGGACCCCCACTCTCGCCCGCCTCCCGCGGCTTTTAGGCGGGCTGCTGAGGCAGACAGTGAAGAAGAAAGGGTTAACAGAGACGGAATACCGCAAGTATATAAATAACGTCAGCCGCAGGGAAGGGGGAGGGGAAGCTACGAAGTGGCTCCGAGCTCGTTCCACAGCGACTCCCTCCGGTTCTACCCGGTCCTAAGCTGTGCTTTCCTTTCCCTTCCCCCTTCCCCCGCATTCACTACTCACCTGCTGGGGGGATGGGCGCCTGGGAGTGCCAGGAGGATAGTCTAGAAGTGTTAGCACTGCAGCCGAAGCAGTCCTCCTGTCTCACTAGGCCACCCAGATTCTCTGCGGCAGCAGTATGGGGAGCTGCTCCCCTTGTTTCGTTTGTCCCACTCCACAGTCACCACTGCTGCCTCCAATTCGCCTCTCCTACATTTGGATCCTCCTCTCCGTACACGAACTCTACCATCAGAATAGAGGCCTCCTCACTTTCCTGCCAAATAGTGAGCTAGCCGCATCGAGACATTCAAAACACGGGACCGGACACCGCCCTCTTCCCCTCTACCAACACGCAGGCGCACTGCAAATTCCGAACTGCGACAGGAGTGCAGGAAGCAATCCTCCACCTAGTCCACCGCTACTCATTACCGCGCAGGCGCTCCTTTTCCTCCATTGCCGTCTCTCGGCGCTCCGTCGAGGAGAGTGGCGTCGTAGCGGAGAGTGGTGTGGGCTTGTCCCCAGTTGGCTGTCTGTTAGCCCTTCTCCAAACTTAGGCCACTAGGCCCTGGGGCGGTGAATGTCCGTCTTTCCCCTCTCATTTGCCCACCCACCGCGGTGGATCTAATGCTGCCTCGTGAAGTGGCCACAGTGCTTTATGGCAGCGGTACCGCTTCCTTAAACAGGCCTTGGGAGCAAGTGGCTGCACACTGCCCTCTCACCATCATAGGAAAGAAAATGTGTAAGCCAGCATAAGAAAGAAAAATCAGCTATGGATATCCTGTGTTACAAATTTGGCCTGTGACGACTGAGGAGAGAGTCTAGGACGCAAAGTATAGAATTACAAAGGTATGTATTTATTCAAGTGCATGAGATGTGTCAGCCAAACAAGGGATTTTCAGAGATTTTATACCTTATGCTACAAGAGTATGATATGAATAATCCACCTACTAATGCAGATTTCTAATTGTCTAATCATAAACGTGGTGCAGCATAGCAACATACGTTACAAGTATGTATTTTGTAGGAGTGCAGTATAATTGTCTGTCAGCATCCTTGTGATTTGTCTGTTAATCCAGATGTTTCCATCATTAACTTTTGCAAATTTTTAGGCATCAACAGTTAATGTTTCTCTTAGATATGGATCCTTCAGATAAGAAACCTCTGTTCTTGCAAAAAATTAATTTTGTTGATCACTTGCCCTTAGTAGGGGTCTTGGGTCTCCAGATAATGATTCAGCAATTATACACTAATAATGTTCTTAGCTCCTATTGACTGTGTGGTCTCAATAATTTATATCATGCCTACTAGAAATTAAAATAAAGATTTGACCAGCTGCCTTGGGACCTTCAAAGCCAGTAAGGTGGGGAGAAGTCAGCATGGTGTCCAAAAATCTGGAGGCCAATAGGGAAGGGGAGGTCTGCATAGTGTGAAGGACCTTCAAGACCTTGAGGAGGCAAAAAGTGACCAATACGTGACCAGCTCAGTTACAGAGAATAGCCATTTACCTTATAAAATGGCATTAGTTATGCTAACCATATTACCAGAGATCAGAAGCAGGAGGTACTGGTTGCAGCTGTACATAAACTTCCTAGCCTTTTTGGATGCTTTGAGGTGCCACCTAGTTTGGTTAGAAATAAAATGGCTGAACTCTTACAGAAGCTTTGAATGCTATTGAATAGCTTTGCGTGAGAACCAGGTTCCCTCTGGTCCCAGAAAATTTTGTGTTCTTGATATCCTTCCAAACTAAAGAGAAACAGCCTTAACTGATGAAAAAAAACACCTCAGCCCTCTTGATTTGATGGTAGAATCAAGAACCCTCAACCCTCAGAAATCAAGTGTCTAGATGTTTGCTTGATCTGAATTTGAAGGAATGATATCGTGAATCTGATCTTCAATTCATATCTTTAAATGCAATACTACTTTTGCTTTAATGTAACTTTAATTAAGCAATTATCTGTTTGAGATAACTAGCTAACTTTCTAATTTCTCTTTTTCAAGCAAGCTACTGTAGAGCTATCACAGGAATTATTTAAAGTCAACAGAAACAGAAGCCTCCTTCCAATGTGTTTCCTTTCTGGCATGGTTACAATTGATTAAATTTAATATGCCATCAGGAACCAACCTATCTTTAGCAACTTGAATAAAACATAAATAAGTTTCAAATTCAGGTAATATAAATTAAATAAATAGAATAGTTCCAGTTGGAAGTGAAAGGAATGAGGAGGTGTCTTTACAAACAAACTGTGGGCCTGATGGTAGATAAGGCCAGATACAGAGAGGTGAAAGAAGCAGTGGGGGCAACCATAAATTACATAGGAATTCCACTAATTGACACAGACTGTTACTCACTCAAGACTGCGCTAAATCTCTAGATTTAGAAAAAAAGAACAGAGACACAAGGAAAAAGGGCAGGAGTACACATTAGAAAGGGGGTGTATTAGTTGATTCGGAAAGTCTGTACCTCTCAAGTACCTCAGCCAATGGGGAAAGAGAGAGGGAAATGCAGCTGGGAAATTAGGATAAAAAGGAGGCTGCGTCCTCTAACAGTTTGAGAGACCCCACGGGGAATGCCCATGACCTCTCCCTTTAGTAAAATAAAGTTACAGGGCTCCTCTGTCTCCTTTTGGACATAAGCCTCTGGTGTTTGTGGATTAACTTTCCTGACAATTTGGGGGATCTTGTCCAGGATATTTTCACCGTCCAGGGGCTGCAGGCAGCAAGTGGAGCTGAAGGTGCGCCTCACCCAGTTTTGGTGATCAGCTCCCCTTGGTTGTGTCCGGCACTGGGCGATTGATTGGGTTCCTGAGACTGTCCAAGAAACAGATGAGTGGCAGACCAGGGATGTCCGTGAAGAGTCCACAGGGAAGGACCACTGAAAATCTCACTGGTGGGTAAAATGGGATCTTCGGGGAGTAAACCTGGGAGGGTACCCATGGAGGGTAGCACAAGTAAATCTGAGAGGGCACCCATGAAGATAGCAAAGGTAAAGCTGGGAAGAGGCCCTGGCAAAAGGGATGACGATCTCAAAATATCTCCAAAGAATCCCTTGGAAGAATGTGGAGTTGGTTTACACATTCTTACAGAAGTAAAGACATGGATGCCCAAAGGGAGCAATAAGGGCAAGTCAAGAAAGGGTCTTAACAATCCATGCCCAGGGGAGCAATATGGGGAGTCAAGGAGTTTTGACAACAGGAGATGGACAAATAGTGTTGATATGTTGAGAAAAGATTAGTTGAAGGGGAATGTAGTGAGATATGGTTGAGGCAAGGAGCAGCAGGACCGGACGTGGAAGTGCGGGACTGGGAGCACGGGCTGGGGGCCTGTGGGGGCTGTGGGGCAGCCGAGGCTCAGCGCCAGGCAGTGCCTGACCCCACCACCCCCGGGCAGGGGCAGCAGTGGCTGCTGGCCCCCATGAGTGGCTGCTGGCCCCCATGAGGCTGCGGGATGCCCCGGCTTCCTGTGGTGCTGCCGGCTGTGCCCGCTAGGAGTGCACGGGGGGAGGGGGGGGAGCCATTTGGACACTGGTATACAGTGTGCGATAAAGAGAGTGAGCACAAGGAGGAGAACCTATCTGGGAAATGCAGATTGTATGTGGAAGGATAAGGATTTTCTTTTAAGGATTTTGTTTGGTTCACTGGAAAAATTAGTGGTTTTGAGCTGTGGGAAAATGAGTATCCACAGGCAGTATTGGGGGGACTAGAGAAAGAACAGAATAAGTCCCTGGATGAACTGATTAGAAAGGTACAGCAAGTGTATATAAGAAGGGATGAGGAAAAAGCAAAGGCAAAGGTGATATAGCAGAGTTTTTATGGCCCCAGAGGGATAAACTGCAGGACCTAAGGGGTTCCCCGGGATAGAAGGGACAGAGTTGACCACAAAGAAGTGGCAAAAGCATTCCCTCCTCAGCAGGGGAGAGCCAACCCAGACATTGGTTGGGGAGAAATCAGTGTGCTATCTTCAGGGCAGAGGGACACTAGAAGCAGGAATGTCTGCAGAAACAACTGGATCCTCAGGAGGCGGAAGTCCAGAGGATAATGGAGATAGATTGTTAGGGGTGTCAGGGGCTCCCATTATACCAGGGACCCACCACACTGGAGCCCTTGCTAACTTTTAAGGTGGGTCCAGATTGAGAGGAGCTGTGTTTCCTGGTAGACACAGGGGCCTCTAAATCCACCTTGAATTTTATCCCTAAGGGGGGAAAATTGTCAAAAATATGTTTGATTATTCAAGGGGTGGGTGGAAAGGATGAGCGAGTGCATTTTATTCAACTGCTTTTAGTAGATGTGGGGGATAGGTTTGAAATGCATGAATTCCTGTTTGTTCCTAATTGTGATTGTAATTTACTGGCAAGGGATATGATGGCTAAAGTGGGAATACAAATTAGTATTGTGTAAAATGATACAGAGTGTAACACTGGTGACTTTGTGTAAAATGTCTGAGAAGGCTTATGCTGAAATAAAGTCAGAAATGTGAGCAGCCCCAGGGAAATACAGAAGATTTTATATAGTGCCTCTCCAAATTACTTTGAAGCAACCAGGACAAGTGGTGTCTAAAAAGCAATATCCTATTTCAAGGAAGGAAGGAAGGAAGGAAGGAAGGAAGGAAGGAAGGAAGGAAGGAAGGAAGGAAGGAAGGAAGGAAGGAAGGAAGGAAGGAAGGAAGGAAGGAAGGAAGGAAGGAAGGAAGGAAGGAAGGAAGGAAGGAAGGAAGGAAGGAAGGAAGGAAGGAAGGAAGGAAGGAAGGAAGGAAGGAAGGAAGGAAGGAAGGAAGGAAGGAAGGGAAGGAAGGAAGGAGGAAGGAAGGAAGGAAGGAAGGAAGGAAGGAAGGAAGGAAGGAAGGAAGGAAGGAAGGAAGGAAGGAAGGAAGGAAGGAAGGAAAGGAAGGAAGGAAGGAAGGAAGGAAGGAAGGAAGGAAGGGAGGGAGGGAGGGAGGGAGGGAGGGAGGGAGGGAGGGAGGGAGGGAGGGAGGGAGGGAGGGAGGGAGGGATTACAACCTGTCACTGAGTCCCTGCTAAAGGCAGGTCTTTTGGAGTAATGGATGTCTCCCTATAACACTCCTATCCTGCTGGTTAAGAAACAGGATGGAACCTACAGAATGGTGCAGGATCTAGTAATAATAAATGAAATTGTCAAACCAAAGCATCACACAGTGCTGAATCCCTATACCATCCTGAATCAGATTCCTTCCTCACATCAGTATTATTCAGTACTGGATTTAAAGGATGCTTTCTCGGGGTATCTGATTACCGAGGATAGTAAACAGTATTTTGCCTTTGAGTGGGAGCAGGAGGAAAGAGAGAAGGTGGTAAAACAACAATTTACATGGACAGTCCTCCTGCAAGGATATACAGTCACTGGTTTTGTTTGGGCAAGCCCTGCAGAAAATATTAAGAGAGTTTACTCCACCCTCGAGAGTTAGGTTGTTGCAGTATGTGGATGATTTGCTTTTATCAGGGGAACGGGAAAAGGTGGTTGAAGAGGCTACTGTGAAGCTGCTTAATTTTCTTGATAAAAAGGGACTTAGAGTGTCTCAAAAGAAGGAGCAGTTGGCAGAGAAAAAGGTTAAATATTTGGGACACATTTTGACTGGAAGCTTACGGTGTATTGATCCAGAAAGAATATAAGGAATTGTACAAGTACCATTACCCCAGACAAAGAAGAAGTTATGGCAGTTTTTAAAGTTAGTAGTGTTATAAACGAAAATTTATTCAGCCAAATTCAAAATAAAAATAGTTTTATTAGCGGTCAAATTCTATCTAGCCAGCCACGGAAAAAAAAAACACAGTGCCGAGCCCGGGGATCAACCCTGGGTGTGCAACAAGGAGTCAGCCTCAGGAGAGGTTTTTCCCCTATGCCCACACACCTCCATCCTGGCACAAGCAGTTTTTATAGGGAAAATTCCACCTGAGGCCAAGATTTCAGCAATCAGTCTTTTCTTCCATTCAGAGTCCATAGGTTAATAAGATTTTCTTTTTTGGTGATGAGGAAGAACAATTCAGTGTCCAGAGTTGTTGAATCCCTTGATGAAATTTACAGGAACACTGCATTCACATGTATCTGTCCAAGGATTAAGGATTTCCATGATATCCATCCCGGGTCGTTCACGAGATGATCAGCACCTGGGGTCCCCATATCTACATGACCCATCTCCTGGCCAAGCCACATCCTTTTACTTGTAAATCAGTTTCCAATATACACCCGGTCTTGGGGGGGGGGGGGGGGGGGGGGGGGGGTAGGGGGGGGGGGGAATACAAACGAGCATAATCTAACAAGTATGCAATATTACACATTTCATACAAGGAATGGCACGAATTATATTTACCAGACATAACACTAGGGTACTGCAGAGCAAGGATTGAAAATTTTTGTGTTTAACCAGTGTCGCTGTTGAGGCAGGACGGGAATAATGATGACTCTAAGTTAGAAGGCAAATAAAGAACTTTATTAACAAGTAGCATTCCTGTTTTATAGCCAGGATCACTAATGTGAAATATGATTGATCTCAAAGTGAAAACCTTTCATACCATTGGTGCACTATGAATAGCACACGGTGGTAGAACATTTATATAAACAATATGAACAGAAAGAGAGATAATAAATGGTTTATATTCCTCTCAGACTTTTTCCCAGGCTTAGCCTGGTAAAATCTCTCTCCTTTTCTCTCTGACTGAACTGAGAATATCCATAAACCAGACTTTTATATTACTTTTTAACCCAAGAGAGTCCTAATGTTGTGGCATGGACACCAGAAGGAGAGAAAAGCTTTAGAAAATTAAAATACAAATTGGTTAATGCCCCAGTCTTAGCTCTTCCAGACTCATAAAAGGAATTTTAATTATATGTGGATGTTAAACAAGGCCATGCTAAAGGAATTTTGGTACAAGAGCACAGGGAGTCACAGCGGCCTGTTGCTTATTTTTCTAAGCTCTTAGACCCAGTGTCCAGAGGCTGGCCTCACTGTCTGCAGAACTGTGCAACCACACCCTTGATAGTAACTGAGGCCCAAAAACTGACAGTAGGAGGATATCTGATTGTTCAAGTTTCACATCAGGTTAAAGCTTTGTTAACTGAAAGAGCCTCTAAGTGGATGACCAGCACTCAGTTATTACAGTATGAATCTTGTTTAATGGAACAGGAGGACTTAGAACTGAAAAGTGGGGAAAGGTTTAACCCAGACTCTGTGAATGTCCCTGAAGAGGGGGGCTGGAAAGAAACCCATGACTGCATTCAAGTGATAGATCTCCAGACCCGGGCTAGTGAAGATTTATGAGACATTCCCTGTCCTGAGGGAGAAAATGTGTTTATGGATGGGTCTTCAAGGGTGGTAGAAAGGAAGCGATTTGCACGACATGCTATCATTAATGGAAAGGAATTAAAGGAAGGGGGTATATTTCCACCCACATGGTCAGCTCAGACAGCAGAGCTATATGCGTTTGTAAGGGCCTGTAAATTGTATCGCCACAACATAGTGAATATTTTTACTGATTCTAAATATGCATATGGGGTTGTTATGTGTAGTAGATATAATTCGCACCATCTCTAATATGATATATGTGATATTGAATATTTGTTAGCGTATACACGTTTGTATTAGGATTCCCCCCCACCCTCACAGGCGAGACTGGGTGTATTTTGGAAACTGATTTACAAGTAAGAAGGTACAGCTCGCCTGGAGATGGGCCATGTCTGGGGAGATACAGAAACCCCAGGTGCTGATCCTTTGCGTGAACGACCTGAGATGGATATCATGGAAATCCTTGGGCAGATACATGTGAATCAACAAACTCCAGACACTGAATTGTTCTCCCTCATCACCAAAAACAAAATCTTATTAACATGGACTCTGAATACAAGAAAAGACTGATTGCTGAAATCTTGGCCTCAGGCGGAATTTTCCCTATAAAAACCGCTTGTGCCAGGATGGAGGTGTGGGCATGGAGGAAAACCTCTGATGAGGCTGACTCCTTGTTGCACACCCAGGGCCGACCCCAGGCTCGGCTCTGTTCTTTCCTTGTGGCTGGCTAGATAGAATTTGATTGCAAAATAAATATTTTATTTTTCACATTAATTTGGCTGGACAAATTTTCATTTATAACAAACTTGGTGACCCCTTACATGATCTGGTTTGGGGGTATCCAGGGAGTTCCCTATCCTCGATCCGGGCGGCGCCCTGCTGATTTCAGCAGCCGGACAGGGCTGCGGAACTCCACGGAACCAACCAGATTCTGAAAACAGCCGAAAAGCCACATTGAGGAAAGGGTATAAACGGGCCCAGAGCTCTCGGAACTCGGAGCTAAATCTCCATGGCTGCAGCAATTTTTCACTCGTAAAATCGACGTGCACGAAGAATCCATGCGGGAAAAGGAGCCGTGAGTACTGCGTAGTTGGGTGGCGCGTAGGTAGATGTGTGTTTGAGTGAGACGTGACATAGTCACAGCGCGAGTGAGGGCCCCTACAAACCGCAGTTCCACTAGCCCGCGAGGGAGGTGGTCGGCTACGGGGGAAGCGAAAGGACTCGGGTGTACTCACAACACACATACGACATGAAACTTGGGGAGTTACAGGGATCCATCCACAGACGGGTCGGGGAGAGAAGGTACATTCTCGTAGACTCAAGAAATTGGTAAATCTCACCGGCTCTGGGCTCGGGGAGTCCAGGAAAACAGGTAAAAGAAAGCTCACTCATTTTCCATCCGAAAAACCCACAGACCGGTTCGCTATGTGGTTATTAGGTTGGCAAGGTTCGGTCGGGGAGAGACCGGTTTAAACAGTTACTGAAACTCGGTCCAGAACAGGCCTGAAATACACATTTTAGCACGCGGGTAACTGACTTCTCCGAACAACTTGCGGACACTGACTTGAAATACGGTAAGGAAAACTTTTAAATATGGGACAAAGGAGCAGTAAAATACCCCTTAAGTTAATGTTTTAAAAAGGCTGCACAGCCCCATGCAGCCGCAAGCAGCATGCCTCTGTAGTTTTTAGAAACCGCACGGCAGCAGCGGAGGCAGCAGTGCCGGCTCGGAGGGAGCGGGGGGGCTCTGCCTGCCCCTGCCCTTTGCAGCGGTGCGGGGCGGCTTCAGTTTCCCCGCGGTGGGAGGAGGGTGAGAGGGCTCCTACCTACCCCAATGGCGGCAGGGGGCAGCAGCGGCTCCCGGTAGCGGGGGGGAGCATGGCTCGGGCTTTCCTGCCCTGCATGGGCGGTGGAGGAGCCGCGGCTCGGGCTTCCCTGCCACGCGTGGGCAGCACTGGTCGCCGCTCAGCCACATGGCATGGAGAAACCCGTTCCTGCAGGCGGCACTTTTTAAAAACAGCACAAGCTACTGCTACTACTCTGCAGGGCTGAAATATAAGAGCTTTTCGCTTCTCGACCATGGTTTTTGGAAATCGGTAGCAAATTTGTTTTGTTTCTGGTCAGTATAAAGTTGTGCTGTGCATTTTACGCCTAAAATGGGAGTGGGACAATGAGGAGCTAAATTATGCCAGGCTATGTGAATATGCCA